AATTTAACAAAAAAAAAAAAAAACACATTTATTATTCAGCAGGGCATAAAATAGCACTTGATCCAGCACCCCATTTACTTTGCATTAAATTTTTTTATATTGTCCTCTCACAGTTATTCGTGCGCTCAGGTTAATGCAGTTACAGTTGCAGTAAGGGTTTAGTTACATCTGAGGTCTGAATACTGATGTTCTCTGAATGCAGCCCAAAGCGAACACTCCAGATGCAATGAAGCAGATCTGTGAGGTCACAGTGGATGACGTGTGTGTGTGTGTGTGTGTGTGTGCCTCTGTGTGTGTGTGTGCGCCGGACCACTGAAATCAGATTAGCACCTACTTGAAAAGCTGATAAAGTATATGTGGGAAACTGCTAAATAGCACAAGGAGAGATTTCACAGTATGATTTGTGGCTCAGAGCCTCTGAGGCAATGTTCACTGAATTACATTAATAAATGATTCAATGAATGATTTAATTCTATACTTGGAGAATCAAAATCATATGAAATTTCCTTTGAAATTCCTTCCTATTAAAAAATAAAAATTCAAATGTCCATACTTTTCTTCTGTCAAAACAGTTAAATATAGGGAGACTTTTTCTTGGTGCAATTTCCAAATGCCTTCCACTTTTCCCAAATTGTCACCTTACCATTGTTTCTAACATCAGCACTCAGCGGGAAATGAGTGGATAAAAGTCGGGCAGGAAAATTATACCTGTCAGAAGGGAGATGCTGAATGCTTGCTTATATGATAATAGCCCGGTCCAGCTCTGTCTCCTGAACAGCAACCTACAGAATTCAGTATAGCAGTGGTGGAAAAAAAACACTGCTATTCAACAACAAAAAAGCACTGATTCAATTTTCATTTATACATATATCATATAAAAACCAAAACAAAGCACCGAATCCCCATGATACACATGCTCACAAGGGGTGTAACACAATTATACTATCCGTATCTGTTTCTGTTTAGTCCTCCAAATATCCATATCTGTATTCAGATTTAAACCTGAAGTGGGTGGAGCCTAAACCAGAAGGAAACAGTTCCTCAACCTCTGCTACATCACTACAGTTCATAAACGCTCTCAACTACAGAAGTATGCAGGACTGGGTTTTTTTTTTTAATCCTCATTCAATTCTCATACATTCGCGCAAGTTCCTGCAATATTTTTTTTAACAAATTCAGTGGAGTTTATTTTCTATTTTTATATTGTTTAATTTGAACAAACTAGTAGCCTAATTTATACCACTGTGACCCTCAGGCAGTCACTAAGGATGAGCTAGTCTCTAGTCCAATGAGCTACCTTCAGCTACATAATTCAAGTAAATGCATGAGAATGAATAAGCTTGGTCCCTGGAGGACTAGTGGTTAGGCATCGGCGCACTCACCGCTGCAGCCCGGGTTCGATTCCTGGCTAGAGAACCAACCCCAGCTACTGAGTTTTCACAAGACAGTACACTTCCAGTTCCCAAGCCTGGATAAAATCGGGGAGGGCTGCGTCAGAGAGGGCATCCAGCATAAAAAGTGTGCCAAATCAAATATGCAGACCAATGATCCCCTATGGCGACCCCTAACGGGAGCAGCTAAAAGAAGAACAACATCATATGATCGAATAAGCTTAAACAGAGGATCTGCTACAGAAGCCAAGGTGGTTAATATAGGGGGAAAAAAACCTAGAGTAGCTAACCTATGGCCAGTTTATACAGTTTCATACATTGATTGCTACAGTATTTTTTGAGAGCTCGGTTCAGTAATACTGTTAGGTCTGCATAGTTGATGACCCCTGCTTTAGTCTACAGGGTTAGAACTGTGATATTTTTTGCCAATGAAGAAAACAGGCAAATTGTCTTGGCCTCTAGAGTCCTAATGGCACTGAAACGAACTCTGCCTGTTTTGGTGAGAAGGGCTAGCTTTAATCTTTGGGGTAAAGAAGTTCCATGAGTAAGTTGTATGTCTGCAAATTTAAACTGGTCACAGTTCAAAGAACTTCTATCTATTTTCCAGAAAGCAGCACAGTGCTGGCAGATATTCCCCTATGGTTTTGTAGCGATATTGAGCATCTCCGCTTGGCTGATCATGGGAATGTTGCTGTATTATCCTGTTTATTCCAAAGGAACAGACCGAAAGACAAAATGGCAGCAGACAGGCTTTAACTCATGAAGTGCTTGCAATCTTCTCTACAGGCTACAGATATTGCTGCAAAGACAAGAAAGGACAGAGTCCTGGGCAATGTCCTGGCTGACTCACTCCATGAGTGCTTTGGATTTGTGGATACTGGGAAGATGCACAGATTTTCTGGATATGGTTCCTGGAAAGCTGCAAGGGCATTTATTAGGTTGTCATACCCACTGTTCTGTGTGTAAAGTGGACTTTTTGGATGAAGTCCACATGCGAGGCTTCCTGAGATGTGCCAGATGAAATTAGTGGTCAGATGTCAGGTAAAATGAGCAGCGTATAGCAGGGAGAAACTCTTCCAGCACATCTGTGCTACACTTCTGGAAATGACTCAGTAATTTACTGGTGTATGCAACCGAGTGCACATTGATTCTGCTGGAAAAAAGATGAGTGATGATTCCTGGTGCTTGCTGATAGCCACTCATTTGAAGTGAAGTGAGGTAAAACCCATGATACTAACCACAACCAGCACATCCATAGACTACTGAAGGAGGTGGTTTTCATTTGAAGGTCTTCCAAAAGAGATCCCAGGAATTCTGAAACTAAAGACATCCAGTCCTCCTTAGCATACTGAAATGTAACTCAGCTGTGCCGTGAATGTGCTTGGTAATTTACAGCTGATTGGCCTTTATCAACATACACAAGTGAGTATGAAGGAAATCTGTGTTAATACAAGGTTTATAAATCTGGCAGGATTTTTTTTTTAGTTTAAACACATCTACTGTACGTGCCAATTGTTAGCAATTTTCCACCAATTACTATTGCAAGCACATTTATCACTGTGGCGCGGCATGGAGTCATCAAAAAAAAAATGTGGTCAAGTATGAACAAGATTGCTAAGTTCAAAAACTTTGTGCTACAGTCTGCTGCTAAATCACATCACGCACTGCTTTACTGGCCTCAATACTTAGATTGAACGCACAGGATTCATTCAGGTCTCACACATCCAGAATATCGGTGGGCCGCAGAATGCACATGGAAGACATCTTGCATGCATATGTTCTTAAACATATACATATTCCTGCAATAGACTGGAGTCCCATCCAGAGTGTATTCCCACGTTGCACCCGGTGTTCCTGGGATAGACTCTGGATCCACCAAGACTCTGACCAGGAGTGGGAGCGCTAAAATGTTGTCTTACCTTATCACGGTTACCTTATCCGTTACTCTGTGTTATTATTATGAAACCATTATGGTTGAGATTTACAGCATCAGTGAGCTCACTGAAAGATGGATAGGGAACACCATTCATAATTGTCAAGTCAAGTGTTTCAACTGCGTCTCTTCCGAACAGCGATCGCAGTAAACAGCAAGCTCTTTTATTTTGACCACAGAAAACCTGTGAAATGCCTCCTAGATTTGGTGTCCAGTGGGGCTAATTTATTTGATTGGACAGTGAGGTTTGTTTACTTCAAGTTCCTCCTTATTTTGAAAAATCAGTGATCAGGAACGTAATCCACTCCGTTCATGAGCACCCATATTGTATTTCACATGTTCTCAATCACTACTGATGATGCGTCATGGATGTGTTTGTAAAGCTAAATAAACTGGCCCTAATGGACACCAAATTTAGGGGGCGTGTCACTCTGTGTAGTCACCTGACACGACTGTCACTCATAGTTTGAATGAATCTACAGTCTGGGTTAGAAAGAAATCAGCTCCAGCTTCACCTCTTGTTTCTTCAATCCATTCTGTGTGTTTTTTCTTACGCACATTGGTGGTGAAGTTCGACAAAAGACAGAAATAATCCACATTAAGCCATAAGACAACACGGATGCCAAAAATTGAACCATGTTTCTTGAAATAGAGGGAGTCCTTAGCCATGCTTGCAGTTGAAAAGAGGACAAGAAGAAAACTTTGCTCTTACTTTCTTTCTGGCAAACTCATTGCTGAAGGTGAATTCAATGACCTTCAGTTCTTTCCTCAAGGAACGATGAGAGCCTCATGAAATTTATATAAACATTATAAATATTTAAATGTTTGCTTAACACACACAGGTCAGAGATGGAAAAGGCAAGATGGAGAAAGACAAGTGAAAGGCAAGGCTATAATTCTTGGTGATATTTTTACATGACTAACAAGGCCTCCTGACTACACATTTATTAGAATTCACACAAGACCTTGTTTAAAATCCCTTAAAGAAAAAAGTCATGCAACCTTCGCATCTTATGTTTCACACATTCGCCGCATGTAGGGCATGTGGTTTTATTTTTCCACATCTGATTTTTTTTTCCCCACATGATTCATTATTTTTTCACATGTAGGGCACCTGTTTTTACTTCTAGCATTTTTAGCACATGATCAAACATCATTCACAAGATATCACACATTTACTTGAATTAGCATTTTAAGGAGATGTTCTTTTTTCATATTTTTCATATACTCTAAGAATAGATTCGATAGATTTCTACACTTCAAATTTTGACTTCGTACCTTCATTTATCTGGATTTCATGCTCAAACCCCCAACTGAATTGACCCCTGAATTGAGTGTAGTATTCCGCTACTAATTTAATCCAAACTTATTTAATAATATGGATATAAGTAAAGTATAATAAGCATATGAGTAATATATTATTTAACAGAATAATACTTTACGTTCATACGGCTATGTGACATGTACATAAGCCTTTCATGGCAACTAACAAACGCTTACAGGCTTATTTTAACAGACGTTCGACAAATTCAGTGTCATTTTGACACAACACCTGAGTCAAGTGACAGACTTCTGTTAATATAAGCTTGTGCTAGGATGCTTTCTGCGATGACTCATGGTATAATATGGAGGACTCTCCACATAAAATGGATTTGCAATGTTTATTTAACATTTATGGAAGGAGTCTCCCGTATCAGCACTTTGTAATACTCAAAGTAAAGGTAAAGGTAAAGCAGGAACTTATTCGAGAGGCTTCAGGACAGAGGAGCTTGTGCTTTTCTCAGTAACATGATGACTAGCTTCAATGCAGTTTCGAACAATTCATAATAGTCACTATATAACATGCTTTAAAAAGAATAATTATATAATAAGCTCCAAGTTTAAGTGCTTAATTAAGCTTAGACAATGTGTAATCAGAGAGAATGAAATCTGAAGTGCGGAAGTACATATGCTTTAGTCACTGAGCCATTAGATAGCTGGTGTGTGTGTGTGTGTGTGTGTGTGTGTGTGTGTGTGATTTTCTGTCTAACCAGTGAAACAGCAGTGTTAAGCCTGTGGGATTAAGAGTAAAAACGTCTGTAGTTCAGCTCAGTTGTGTCCAAAAGCGAGGGAAATAAAGAGGCGATGTTCCTGCCTCGCTCAGCTCCCACTGGCTCTCAGTGAAAGCCTCTGCTGCGTCGTCCTCTTAATGGATTTTTTAGTTTACTCGCTTGAAGGAAGCAACGAGAAAGCGTGTGGAGAAGGCTAGCAGTTAAGCTATTGCACAGTCTTGAATTTTAATTCCTGGAAATGTGTCGGAGATATTAATGGTCAAATTTATCCATCTGTTTCTTTCCTTTTTTGCCCCTTGATATTTTTTTTCAGGGTGAGGTTGGATTTATCGTAGCGCTGTTAAATGGGCGCTGTGAGTTTTGCCTGGACCAGCTGTTTGGAAGTGAAACAGTCAGCAGGATTCACTGCCTTGGCTCCCACCTGCTGCAAAACCGCTGATTGTTACACCTTCTCACACACACACACACACACACACACATGTTCTTATCCTGCCCATTTCTCTTTAAACTCCATATATCTCTTTCTCTCCCAGCAGGTTGATGAAGCCACTTCGCAGTCAGGGTGACTGAAACGTCTCTGCTGGAATGCAGTGGGTTTTCTGTCCTCTCACTCATCTCCATTTTCCAATTTCACAAAGACCTCATATGCAAAAAAAAAAAAAAGAGATCTTTATTCTGCACGTAACCTCATGCAGCATATTGGCTTACACTGATCATAGATTACATTCATTTATTTCACTCTCACTTCCTGGGAAAAAGGTTTTGTGTTCACACAATAGTGCTTGATTGCTTTTGCTGCTTATTTTTAAGATAACTACTACTCTGATAAAGACATTCTGTAATACACAAATACACCAACTCATCAGTGCTCTGATGGGTTGAGGGCTCTGGCTGCATGTTCCCATAGCTGCTTTGTCTTTGTTTCGTGGCCTGTACGTGAATTTGAAATGAAGACGTGTGGTGTGGCTTTAATACTGAAATTGTGCACCTCAGAAGAAACTTCTGCATTGGTTATGCGTTTGGTTTGAGTAAAACAGAGGC